TTCCTTCCTTCCTTCCTTCCTTCCTTCCTTCCTTCCTTCCTTCCTTCTGCCCCAGCAGAGCCCCAAGAGGCAACTTTCCTTTCTGGTTTCCTGACCTGCCTTAGATTCAGGAGAGGTGTCTGGAGAGGGTGTGTGCCACACTGTGTGGCGTTGCTGACCTCTTTAATCTTAGTCTTTCATTTCAGCTGTATCTCTGTGTAGCTCTTTTTAGAAACCAGCTGTAATCAGAGAGAAATGAAAGAGTCTCAGGTCTGGTGGCTATGCAAGGGCTTTTACTCTGGAATGATCCATATGTGCTTGTAAGTTTCTGTCAGCCACGAATGCCTTTTCCTAAGCAGAGTCAGCAGCTTCCCCTAAATGTGACAAGGAACCTGGCAGGGGGTGATATTCCAGACTCTGGGAATCACATGGGGAGGGATAAGGGAGAATTCACTACAGAAACAACAATCGTGGAGAGTTGGCTCTATCATATCTGCAATCTCATCATAAAGGACCTAAGGCAGGAGGATTGCTGCAAGTTGGGGGCCAGTCAGGGCTGCATGGTGAGGTCCCATTGAGCCACAGTTACACAGTAAGACACTGTTGCCGGTGACATGGCTCTCAGGGTGTCTTAGTTAGGTTTTACTATTGCTGTGATGAAACACCATGACCAAAAGCAACTTGGGGAGAAAAGAGTTATGTGGCTTATATATCCTGAGTCACAGTCCACTGAGGGAAACAAAGGCAGAAACTCAAACAGGGCAGAATCCTGGAGGCAGGAGCTGATGCAGAGGCCATGAAGGGGGCTGCTTACTGGCTTGCTTCCCCTCGCTTGCTCAGTCTGCTTTGTTATAGAAACCATGACAACCAGCCCAAGGATGGCACCACCCACAATGGTCTGGGCCCTCCCCATCAATCACTATTAAGTAAATGCCCTACAGGCTTGCCTACAGTAGAATCTCAAGAGGTGTTTTCTCAGTTGAGGCTTCCTCCTCTCAGAAGACTCCAGCTTGTGTCAAGTTGACATAAAACTATACAGCACAGGGGTAAAAGCACACCTAACAACCTGGTTTGGTTTCTAGATTCCCCACAGTGGAAAGAAAACAAACTCCTGAAAGTCCTCTGACTTCCACTCAGGTAAATACACTCACACATGTGTGCACACACATATACATACATACACACACACACACGCTTGCACATTGTCCATAAACACGCACATGCACACACATGCACATACCATACACATACATGCACACACCATGCATATGCACATACCATACACACTCACACACCATGCACACTCACACACACCATATACACACATACATGTCTGCACATGCCCACGAATGCACCATAGACAGAAATACTCACATGCACTCACACACCTTATACACGCATATACATACTCACACACCATACACACACATGGACACTCACATACATACCATATACCCACATACAAGTGCTCATGCACACACATACACACACTATTCACACACACACACCATATATACACATACTCACATACCATACACACACGCACATTCCCACACATACTATATACACACATACATACTCTCCCATACCATACAAACACATACACACACTCACACACCATACACACACTAACACACATACACACATGTGCACACACACTATATACTCACACACATGCATGTGCCTACTCACATGCATACGTCATATATACATACACAGTCACACACCATACACATACCACACACACACACACACACAAATTCTTTAAATTAAATACTCAATTTGTTGATTAATATAAAAACAATTTGCAGCTGAGTTATGGTGAATTACATCTGCAGTCTCAACGTGAGAGCGGCTAACAAGGTGCTACAGACTCATGACCAGCCCGGGCTACACGGTGAACACCGGGTCTGCAAGACACTGTCTCGAAACAGTGTTCTGCACCATGCATTAGAAGAGAGATCTGACATGGCCATCCACAGTACATGCCATGCTGATCACACCATGTGTGACTGGCCAGAGGACTACACAGACTACCCAGCTCCTGCAGTATTGTCACCACCAACCTCACCCTTCTTCGTCATTCCTCTCCTGGTCCATTCTGAGTGCTGAAGCACCAGACAATGCATAATGTAGGGTCTAGCCTTTGAACGATACGTTACTGCCTTGCATATCACGAGGACCTCAGTTTCTCATCATTTTTTGTTCACTGGTCAGCTGTGACCCTTGACCTTTCATCGTCTAGTTATCTTGCTCGGTCAGGGAAGATGAGGGCCATCCATGAGAGGATTAAATCGACTTCCATAGCAACAGAATGTGTATGGGTCACAAGGGCCCATGGGACTACTCGGCTCATCGCTGTGACAAAATACCTGCTCAGAAGCAGCTAAAGAGAGCAAGGATTTACCTCAGCTCCTTTTCACAGTTGGGAAGGCATGGCAGTATCCATGGTACAGGAGTATCCCCTGCAAAAGGTGGCCCAGCTGGGAGCCTGAGGTGGCTCAGTCACATTCCAGAGAGTCAGAAAGCAGAGTGAGCACAGGCCAGGCAGAGGAGGAAGAAGTCCATAACCTTAAGCCCCCAGTGTGACCCACTTCATCCAGCCTTGCGGAGTGCTACCTGTCCTGTCCAGCAGGACATTAAACAGGGGTCCGGGGAGGTCACCTGAAAGAGAGCGGGGGAGCAGGCAAAGATAAAAGGAATGACAACCTGTCTATAATCTGATCAGATCGTAATTTTTACTTTTCCACACACAGGTTTTATACACAAAAAGGCAGGATGTGGGGAAGGGGATGACGCAGGAGCGTAGGTGTTCAGGGGGAGTACAGATCTCTTCCAGAACAGAGTGTCAGCTGGGTGAAGGTTCAGGGGACAGACCACTATGACTCCGCCTATGATTCACTTGTCTTTATCTAAGTTGGTACTATCCACCAAGGTTACCCATCTACAAGGCCTTATGACTAGGCTTGGTAGCCTTCCACCAAAGCTGTCTGTTTACAATAACTCCCAGCTATCTGTTTCAGTGTTTTTCCACAGAGACCCAAGACTTGGTGGAAACAGACATGTATGTCAGGCCTATTGCTGATTTTAGGCCTATGGCTGATTTTAGGCCTTCCGTGTATAAGCAGGGCTGCTCCCAACAGCTACCAGCTGGAGAAGTAGCATAGCATGTGAACACAGGTCCTTTTCTCCCTCAACTACTACAAAACTGGACAGAGTGAGGCCTTCCAGCTCTGAAGAGATGCTGTGTGCACCTGTTATACAGGTTTTACCTTAAAATAACAGAAAAGAGTTAAAAACAAAAGGCATGGGATGCCGGGAAGACAGCCCAGGGGTTAAGTGCACTGGCCAATCTCCCAGCAGACCTGAGTTTGGTTCCCAGCACCCACATGGTGGCTCACAACCATCTGTAATTCCAGTTCCAGGAGATATGATACCCTCTTCTGGCCTCCATGGGTACAAGTCATACATGTGGTACACAGATATACACACAGGCAAAATAGCCATACACATAAAAAAAATTTTTTTTTATTTTAAGAAAAAGAAATGAGCATATGTACTAAAATACCAAAAGTAGGGCAGCAATACTTTCAGGGAAAAAAAAAAGTAGATTTCAGAGACAGAAGGAGGAGAGTGTTTTCATTTGGCTGAAGTAGGCAAGTCTGGAGCCTGCCTTGAGGGTGGAAAACCACTTTGCTGGGTTTAATTGGTAGGTTAAGAGCTCCCTTATCAGCCTTTCCAGAAACAAATGCCAATTTGTTTGTGACTCTGTCATGTGAACATTAGAGTTTGGCTAAAATGCTTAAATATCCAACTATGCGTAACAGAAAATATCCAACTACACAGAACAGAAAAGCTGCTTCCTAGGAATCAGCAGGCCATTTTCAGACACGGATCTTTATCTCAGCCTACCTGGAAAGCCTCAGTACATCCCAGGAGGGAGAAAATATCCAGTCATTCCCTGTGACCATGCTGCCAGACATGACCAGTTTAGTTTGTCAGGAGCTGGTGACACTGTTCATCTTGCTTCCCTCCCTCAGGAGCCTGTTCTGGAGTCAGCTGTGATGTACTAAAGCACGGAACTCCACACACAGCCAGTGACCACTGCCTCCGGCCGTACACGACAGTGCCTTGACCCAACAGCCATCGAGTACTGTGTGGATTTCCACTGAGGCGAGGACCTGGGTGGGGAGGGGAGGGGGGACTGCAGTGCACTGCTGCAGGGGGCTGTCCTGAAACCTCACCCGGAAGGCCGCTTCAGTCGGCAACACTGAGGTCTCACCCACTCTCTGCCTTAGGCTCCCAGGGGAATCTGAGACCCAATATCCAGACGCTGGCTTCCAATAGCAGAGCTCTGTGTTCAGAAGATGCATTGTGCCTGTTTAATTTGCTCCCATGTGCTGTCTTTACCAGCCCTATGTGTTTTTAAACCCTTTAATCCCCATCAACAGTTCATCCTACAAAAAACTGCTGGAGACGAGCTTGGGGGCTGGGAAAGTGGCGGTCATTACCATCACTTAGTTCTGCTTGTCACCTCCTAACAGATGCTAAGAGCAGGGGGCTCTAGAAACAGTCTCATTTGGAGATGCTTGGCCACCTCCAGCTAAGCTCCCAGCCCCCAGCCCCATCCATGCCTCTGTGCTCCCCTGTTGCTCAGCAGTCAGCAGCCACGAAATGAAAAGCTCTGATCCACCAATGCCATACCTGGGTCTCTATGACACCATGTCTCATTGTGAATTTGGAGTTCTTGCATGGATTTACTCAGGGGGAGAGGGGCCTAAGGGATGATGTCACTGTTAGTCTAACTTAAGGACACTGCTCAGAGTCAATGTGATGTGGCTTGGTCACGAATGGGCTCTTGTAAAATAGAACTACACAAGAAAAGTATTCCGTCCTCCAAAAGAGATCTCCTGCCAAATTCAACAAGATTCAGAAGGATAGCAAACGATGAAGGTGGTTAGCAAACACCCTTAGAGAAAAGGAGTGTGGACGGACTGTGAGGGACGCAGAGGTGACCCTCACCCCAAGTCCACTGTCTGTTTCAGGGCAGGGGCTGGAATAAATGCATGAGTATCTAAAGTGTGTTTATGCACACAAGGACTGGCCCTGTGCTAGACTGGCTGTGTACCTGCAGCATGTTTTTAATGTTGGCTTCTGGGATCTTCTGAATCATAGGGTGCGGTGGGAGAGGACAAAGGAGGGAGGCGTGGGAGTGGCCACTAGGTGCTGGCTCTGGAGGACACAGTATGCCCAGTTTTGTCTGTGTCTTTCTCTTATGGTTTTCCAGAATCCATAACTAAAGGTCAGATCAGTGAACTTGCTGAAGCCGTATGTGTGAGCTGGTTCTAACTGGAATGCCCCCACCTCCAGAAGCCTAGCCCTGTCTTCACTTCCGAGTTATCTGGTTCTCCTGTACATCCCCAGACTTGATTGAACTGCCCTCCCTGTGTTATGTGTCATTGCTGCTAATGGGGGTCCTTGTGTCTTCCCATAATGCTCCTGCTAATGTATGTGTCACCCTAGAGAAAGGACTCCATGGAAACAGTAAACCTTTGGTGTTTTATCCAGTGGATGTGGTTCACACTAAAACAAAGTTTAAAAAAACACAACAAAAAGATCTGACTTCCAAACGGGATGTTTTTCCTTAGGAGGCACGAAGCTGCCTTTGTGCTAACAGTGTTAAAATACTCAGTTTTCTTTTGAAAAAGCGTGTACTGTGTAAGCCTTGCAAAAAAAATAATAATATAATAATAATAACAACAATGAAGAAAAAGCCTGTTCTATGGCATTTGAACTTTTATAAAAGGTTTCCTTGTGCCAAATAAGTACAAAGATTTAATTTACTATTTAAACCATAAACATGCTATAGTTCCAGAAATTATTTTGTCATCAGTGATTTTGATCTTTAGTGTCAATATTTATATTTAGATTAATTTTTATAAATGAAATATTTTGATGGTTTAAGAAAATGAGGACAGGAAGGATACGATCTCTGATGGCTTCTCAATGCCTTCGTGTCTCACACACTCGGCCAAGAATCACTGTCAAGGGAAATGACCACGGCCAAGCAGTAAAGTCACCTATGAAAACAGTCTGAGTGTGTGTATGTGTGGTATTTATTTATTTATTTACTTACTTATTCACTTATTTTGGTAAGAAGAGTCTAGGGGTCTCTGTGCCTGCCTACCTTCTAGTTTTACAACACAAAAGTATCTCACCAAGACAGTCTCTTTCTCTAATGAAATAAGGCAGTTTCCCAACCACCCATCCTCTCTGGAGGTAGGACCAGCAAGCTCTGAAGGCGAGGAGGTTGGTTCTGATTTTGCCCTTGCCCTACCTTACAGATATTTAGACAACATCTGGTCTCTCTGTCTCTCCATCTGCCTTTCTACACTATATATCTATATCTGTAGATGTATGTGGGTGTGTGCACACACACTAGCATGTGTATGTAACATACACCTGTGTGTGGAGGTCAGAGGTCAGTGTCAGTGTCTTCACCAAGCACTTTCCACCTTACTTTTTGAGATAGGGTCTCCCAGTGAACCCAGAACTCCCTGATTTGACTAGACTGGCTGACCAGCAAGCTCCAGGAAATCTACTTACCTGTCTCTCTGTGTCCCCAGTGCTGGGATTAGAGATGTGTACCTACACACTGGCTTTTTGCTTTTCTTACTTGGGTGTTGGGAATCTGGACTCAGATCCTCACACCTGCACATGTATTTTGCTGACACACCCACTTCCCAAGCACGTGTGGATGCTTTGGCTAATGCCGCCAGAAGATTCTGCTACTCATAGCAGGGGTAGTGCCAAGCATCATACATTGCACAGGGTGACACCCACAGCAAAGAACGGTCTCCCACAGACTGCTCACATCACTGAGAATAAGAACCCTGAGTTGGTTAGACCCTGGGGGTTAACCCAGATGTCAGTGGGGAGTCTCTTGCCTGCCTCTATAGCTACTGTGAATAGTCAGTCACTCCTCCTGCCGTTTTGCAGGCTTAGGTTGTCAGTCACATCCTGGTATGCCCAGGACACTCCTGCCATCCACAAATGGGAGTAGAAACCCTCTCCTAATCTGGAATAAACAAGTGTATGAAAATACAAAAGCCAACATCCTCCTCAGTCCAGAGCACTGCAGTAATATAGCTGTTTCCTCAAGGTTGAACCTTTCTGGAAGGACAGAAAGCCTTGTGAGAAACTTCTAAGACTCATGTGTCCCCTCTAAGGTTTCGCCAGCTATAAACTGCTGCTGGGAGAAAAGAGGCTTGTCTGTGGAGCCTACAGGTAGTGCCGAGTACTCCAGAAACACAGCTTTCTCAGCCATCACCCACGATGTGGCGCGTCTCAATAAGTAACTGCTCACCCGTGTTCCAACAGGTGTCCCCAATAGACTCACTGAGTCACCAAGCTGGATCTGGGTGATATTGTGTCTTAGGTTTGTCATTACCCAATCTGAGGAAAAGTCATGCAACAGATACTCTCAGATGTGCCGATCGTCTCCTGGGGTGCTTGTCCAAGCCGGCCCCACCTGGTACTTCTCATTCATGTCTCCAACAGCATCCCAGTGTAGTGCGTTAACCGATGCTTTTAAAACCATCAGTGGAGAAGAAATGGAAGGGACCCATCTGACTTCAAAAGCCTACTGGCACCTAGGACATAACAATGGCAATGAAAACAATGTCACAAAGCCGTGGCTAAATTAGATGCCTTAGATGTTGCTAGAGGCAACGCTGATGACTGTGAGCCAAGAGCGGTCTACAAAAGCCATGGCAGATGCTACCGGAGTGGAGCTGCAGGGCACGGGCCCCACCAAATCACACCCAGTGTCTGCTGGTTAGTTTTGTTGTCAGCTTGCCACAAACAAGAGATGTCTGGGAAGAAAGAAACTCAATTGAGAATTGGCAGCCGGCTGGTGGTGGCACATGCCTTTAATCTCAGCATTCAGGAGGCAGAGGCAGGCAGATGTCTGAGTTCAAGGACAGCCAGGGCTACACAGAGAAATCCTGGAGATAGGAGGGAGAGGGAGAGGGAGAGGGAGAGAGGGAGAGGGAGATGCCCCCATCAGATTGGCCTGAGGAGGAATTCTTTTGGTTAGTGGGTGATGTGAGAGGGCTCAACCCACTGTGGGTGGTGCCTCTGCTGAGCAGGTGGTCCTGGGTGGTATAAGAAAGCAGGCCAAGCAGGCCATGGAGAGCAGGCCAGTGAACAGCACCCGTCCACGGTTCCTGCCCTGACTTCCCTCACTGATTGACTGCAACTGGGACATGTAAGCCAAATAAACCAGGATGAGTTTTGGGTCTTGGTGTTTATCACAGTGACAGAGAACACACTAGAACTCAGTTTATCATCCATGCAGGTAGGACAGACGTCCGCAAATGCGAGCCTAAGGGGTTTGTAGGGTCTTGTTGGGTTTATGGTTCCAAGTATAGGCATGAGACAAAGCTGGGCAAGGAGTCCATTGATAAGTGTCATAGAGAAGTCTAGATATGTCACTAAATGTCCTCATACCACCATCAGTGAATCTTTACAACGGTGAGGGAGGTCACAGCAACACCATTTAGTATGAGGAAGACAGAGCCCAAGGGCACTGGGCTATACTGGAGAGCCCACGGGTGCTGGGCTGTACTGGGGAACAGTATGGTGCTTCCCAAGCTGGGAAAATCTCATGGGTCAGATCATGAGTCATCTCCATCCCGGTGAAATGAGGCTTTTACCTGAGACAGCATCTCACTGTGCAACCCTAGCTGGCCTGACACTCACTATGTAGACCAGGCTGACTTTACCTGACAGAGATCTGCCGCCTTCTGTCCATTGAGTACTGGGATTATAGGTATATGTCATCATGCCTGGCTTCTTAATATATAAGAATATAGCAAAATGTCAACAGTGGTTCAGACACAGGGACAGGGCTGGAGGATGGTACTGATCTGACCAGCAGAGCGCCTTATGAATACTAGGATTTGAGTTCTCAGAACACGCATGAAAATGTCAGGTGTGGCAGCACATGCTTGTAATCCAAACTCTGGGAGGCTAGAAACGGGCAGCTTCCTGGGGCTCATGGCCAGCCAGCATAGCTTTATTGGTGAGCCCTAGGCCAATGAGAGATGTGCCTCAGAAGATACAGATGCCATTCCTAAGGATGGCACATATGGACAGACAGACAGACACAC